AGTTTTCTATGAAATCTTTAGGATTTTCTATATATAAGATCATATCATCTGCAAACAAAGGCAATTTTACTTCTTCTTTTCTGATTTTGATGCATTTTTCCCCCCTTTTTCTTGCCTGATTGCTCTGGCTAGGTCTTCCTGTACTATGTTGAATAGAAATGGTAAGAGTGGGCACTCTTGTCTTGTTTCTGATCTTAGAGAAAAAACTTTCAATCTTTCACCACTATGTTTTAGTTAATGTTTAGGGTTTACATTATCAGTACATAAATAAAGTAAAATCAGTACATAAAAAAAAATACAACTGATCCAAACAGTGTATTCTGATTATATTTCCTTTTCTGTACAGCTTTTGGTTTTTCCTTAAGTTAATAATGTTTCACATTTTTTATTTGCTTGGTTTTCCATGGACTTCACCAAATGCTTCACCAAAGTATAAATTTTTTCTCCACATATTCAAACAACACATCTGATATTCTCTCAATTTGCTTTTTATTTTTTCTTGGAGACATCCCTCCTGGGGCCCACTGCTCTCCAGCTCCTCCTTGGACCGGTTGTGCTCTATACCTGCTGACTAGCTACCCTCCTGGGGATTCCCTTTTTTTCTTCACTGTGTTGGAGCCCATTTCCTGAAACTCATGTTTTCCTCCCTGGCTTACTCATTAGTTTCAGTGGAGAAAGGATGTGGGGAGGAAATCTTTTGGGATGTTGTATGCCTGAACAGGACTTTATCCTCCTTTACCCTTGACTGATAGTATGAGTAGGTCTAGAATTCTAGGTTGGAAATAATCTTTCCTTAGAATTTTGACAGCCTTGTCCTACTGTCTCCTGCTTCAGAGTTGCTGTTGAACATCAGATCTCATTCTAGTTTTTTTTTAATTTAATTTTACTTTTTATTGAAGTACAGCTGATTTACAATATTAGTTTCAGGTGTACAACACAGTGATTCAATATTTTTAAAAATTATACTCCATTAAGGTTATTATAAAATATTGGCTGTATTCCCTGTTGTACAATATATCTTGTAACTTATTTATCTTATACATAGTAGTGTGTACCTCTAAATTCCCTATCCCTACCTTAAGCCTCTCCACTTCCCTCTCCCAAATGGAAACCACTAGTTTGTTCTCTAAATCTGTAGGTCTGTTTCTGTTTTGTTATAGTCATTCATTTGTTTTATGTTTTAGATTCCACATATAAGTGATAACATATAGTATTTGTCTTTCTCTAATTTATTTCACTAAGTATAATGCCCTCCAGGTCCACCCATGTTGTTTCAAAATAGCAAAATCTCATTCTTTTTTATGGCTAATATTCCATTGTATAAATATACCACATCTTCTTTATCCATTCATCTACTGATGGACACTTAGGTAGCTTCAATATCTTGGCTGTTGTAAATAATGCTGCCTGAACACTGGGGTGCATATATCTTTTGGAATCAGTGTTTTCATTTTCTTTGGATGTATACCCAGCAGTGGAATTGTGGGATCATATGGTAGTTCTATTTTTAGTTTTTTAAGGAACCTCCGTACTGTTCTCCATAGTGGCTGCACCAATTTACATTCCCACCAACAGTGTACTTGGGTTCCCTTTTCTCCATGTCCTTGCCAACATTGGATATTTGTGGTCCTTTTGACAACAGCCATTCTGACAGGTGTGAGGTGATCTCTCATAGTCTTGATTTTCATTTCTCTGATGATTAGCAATGTTGGGCATCTTTTCATGTGCCAGTTGGCCATCTGTATGACTTCTTTGGAAGAATATCTATTCAGGTCTTCTGCCCATTTTTAAACTGGGTTCTTTATTTTTTTTTTGATATTGAGTTGTATGACTTCATCTGTATGACTTCTTTGGAAGAATATCTATTCAGGTCTTCTGCCCATTTTTAAATTGGGTTCTTTATTTTTTTTTTGATATTGAGTTGTATGACTTCTTTATATATTTTGGATATTAACTCCTTATTGGTCATATCATTTACAAATACCTTTCCCATTCAGTAGGTTGTCTTTTCATTTTGCTGATGGTTTCCTTTGTTGTGCAAAAGCTTTTAAATTTAATTTGTTTATTTTTGCTTTTGTTTCCTTTGCTTGAGGTGATAGATCCAAAAACTATTACTATGGCTTATGTCAAAGAGTGTTCTGCCTGTTTTCTTCTGGGAGTTTTATGGTTTCCAGTCTTACATTTAGGTCTGTAATACTTTTTAGTTTATTTTGGTATACAGTATGCAAAAATGTTCTAATTTCATTCTTTTACATGTAGCTGTCCATTTCCTGGCATCACTTATTAAAGAGACTTGCTTTTCCCCATTGTATATTTTTGCCTCCTTTGTCATAAATTAATTGAACATAAGTGCATGAGTTTATTTCTGGGCTCTCTATTCTGTTCCGTTGATCTATGTGTCTGTTTTTATGCCACTGTAGCTTTGTAGTTTTGATTACTGTAGCTTTGTAGTACAGTCTGAAGTCACAGAGTGTGAAACCTCCACCTTTGTTCTTTTTTTCAAGATTGCTCTGGCTATTTGGGGTCTTCTGTGGTTCCATATAAATTTTAGGATTATTTGTTTTACTTCTGTGAAAAATGTCATGGGTATTTTGATCAGGATTGCATTAAATCTGTAGATTGCTTTGGGTAGTATGGACATTTTTACAATATTAATTCTTTCAATCCATGAACACAGGATAGCTTTCCATTTATTTGTTTCATTTTCAATTTCCTTCATCAAAGTTTTATAGTTTTCAGTATATAGGTCTTTTACCCATTCTAGTTCTTGATATTTTGCCTGTGATCTGTTGTTCTCTGTAAAGCTTCTGGGATCTTCTCTTTACCCATGTCCTCCAGCTCTGGGAAATTTTGATAATTTCTTCCCTTCTTTTTAAATTGTTTTCTATTTCTGGAACTCATATTAGTCAGATGTTGTGTGTCCTAAATTAGCCTCTGATTTTTTACCCTTTTTCTCCCATTTTGCATCTCTTTGTCTTTTTGTCCTACCTTCTGAAAGAGTTCTTCAACTTTATATTTTAATCCCTCAATAGAAAAATATCACTTTGCAATCATATTTTTAACTACAAAGAGGTCTTTCTTGTTTTCTCAATATTCTTTTTTTTTTTTTATTCTTATTTTATGGAAGTAACATTTCTTGGTTCTTTCTGAGGATACTATAGCTGTCGTTGTTGTAGTTTTCTTCTGCTGCCCGCATTGTCCCTATTTTCCCTAAGTTCTTTCTGTTTGTTTGTTTTGTTCATTTTGATCTTTTTCTTTCACTAGAGGCTCCTTCTAATGTTTAACAATCACTGGTTATCAGTTCACATTTAAGACTGAGGCACTGAAAAGTGAATTAGAGGTTCTATATGAGGGTGACTGCTGACCGGTGAGTTCCACGACCTGGTTCAGAGTCAGGGAAACAGGCCATTTCATTGGGGGACCCCCACGTGGCACCATCTGTACGTCCTTTCTCTGGGTTAGACAATTTCTCCAAAGAAGAATCCGATAATCTCCTGCCAAGGAAATACCAACCCGGCTGTCAACATCCTGGAGGTTAAGCTGTGGAGTGGGGGTTGGTAGTAGGTAGAACACTATTCAGTATTTAGACTTTCACTTGCTCCCCCTTCTTTCAGTGCAGAGCCTTGCCCCAGCCTCAGCTGTGCCAGATGCCCCACGTCCAGACCCTCTCTGATGACTTCTCCAGAGAGCAAAGCTCCCGTCTTGTCTTCTGCCGGTGTGAAGAAGGGGCCCTGGGGTCCAACTGCTCCTTAGGAAGACCTTTAACTAATCTTTGGAAGCACATTTTACACTTGAATTCCTGAGCCTCTCTAGGTTTTTGTGGCACAAACCAGCCTCCTCTCCCACCGAATGCAGAGACAGGGAGATATTCACTTCACTGGAAGTTAAATAAAAAGCTCTCATTGAAAATGCTTTGATTTTGTGGTACTAAAATAGCACAAAATCACTGCTCTCAGAGAGATATGACCTGCTGGCCAATTTGGTTAGAATAATCTCTGCTCCTCTACTCAGGAGTAAGCAGCACACATCACCCCCTCCAACGGCTCAAAGGTTCTCAATGCCAAGGGCTACAGCCCTTTGTGCATTCTATGGGCTCTCTAATGATGGAGGCTCCCAACAGCACCTCTGTAATAAAACCCACAGTACTCCTTATCATCAGGAGGTAATTGCTCAATGGCATGAATCATCCCTGGTTGACTTTCTTACCCCCACGAACCCTCATGTTTTTCTGCTCATTTAGGCTGAGAGATTAGAGGAGGATCAGCCCCATAGGAGTAAACTTGCTGTTCTGAGTCCAACCCTGTCATTCTAGTGGCCGTGTTCTTCTTGCCTGTGGCTTTATCTTTGCCTCATGGAGAGTAGCATACACAAAAGAGGTAAAGGGTTGAGATGTATGTATGTGTGTGTGTGTGTGTGTGTGTGTGTGTGTCCTCAATTATTCTGATGAGGTAAAGGAGGATAAACGCTTAAATAAGTATCATAGCGCACAGAGAAGCAAGTAATTAATTCACTAGCACTTAACTATATGAACATGAATTACATTTTATAGTCATGTACAATTCCCTTAGGATTTAAAATTGTTTTTCAAGAAAACATTCTCCTCATTTTGCATAGGATGAAATGAAGCTCGCAGAATTTACTGAAGTGTGCTCCAAATAGATCAGTAATGTTTTTAAAGTTTGAAGTCCGTAAGAATGGATATTTACAGGGGAAGTCAACCCCTTCTCCTGGATATCTTTCAATTCTAAGCGGTACAAATAATTCCCTGTTGGGCTTCCTTCTGGATTTTCTAGCTTAAAGTAAAAGAGGTTGGTAATGTGACAGATTTAAGATGTAACATTTCTTTTTACTACCAAATGAATATCCTTCCTAATTTTGAGCTTGGTCTTTTACTCTTGCCAATCCCTTTTGAGAGGTCATGTCAAAATTTCAAAATATCTTTTGAGATTCACAACATGAAGCATACAGACAAGTCAACAGGAATAACATGCTAGACCTACCTGTTGAAATAACATGTAACCACTGCCCCAGCTATAGTCATTTGCTGGCATGCAAGGATGAATTCACTAGTCCAGATGAGGCCAATTAAATGGTACCACCACATATACCGAATGCCCGAAAGAGGCTTATATTCCACTTGGCCGCCTTCGATGACCTGTGCAGCTCCTAAAGTTTAAAACACAAACATGCTTTATACCTATGTTTCCCTAAGTATGGGGGAAGTTTCAACAGGCCATGGTTCCTCATACCTGGGCTTTGGCATTACACGAAACACAGATGCCAAGGTAAAGTTTGAAATACCCACCATAATATAAGATCTTCATAGCAAAACTAAAAATTGAGAACACACATTTAACTTATGAAGAATATTAACAGGGATAAGTATGATGACTGATTGGTAGGCAATTTGCAGGACACTTGACCTATACTCTAACACTCACCCCACTTTACAGATATGAAAACTGAGGTTTGGAAGAGTCAAGTGACTTTTGCAAAGTCTCATTGCTCATGACTAGTGGAGGGAGAATATAAACCTGGACACACTGGACTCTAAAACCCATGGTTTTTCTACCACAACACTTGGTGATGCAAACAAAACTTACGTTGATGAAAGCACACAACGCCATTAGGACTCTGTTATAGAACCCCACTTCACCAAAAGTTTAGACTTAATAAAAGAGACAAGGATCTTCATTTTTTCAAAGGGATTCATTTCAGATTTCATTTCAAGAGCAAACTCTTCTAGGACATTTAAAATATCTACTGGGCTTCAGAGTTAAGCTTCTAGGTTCAAATCTCAGCTTCACCCTTTTTTGGGTAGATTGGGGCGAGTTATTCGGCCTCTTGGAGTTTTAGTATCCTTATCTGTAATACCCATATGCTGGTGGTAGTTCAAGAGAGAGTAGAGTGGGATTACCTGGTCAGTGCTGGCCCAAAGAAATATCACTACATAAGTGATAACGATTTTTATTATTATTATTAAATTTCAGGAGCACAACACTGTATTAAACCGAGGCCAGTGATGTAACCCCAGCAATGCTCTGCCATTCACTGGTTATACCCTGCTTTATTTGCTCTCATCTAAAGAAGCCTTTGAATTAGCTCTGCGATTCAATTCAATTCCATTTGGCTCTAGTAAAACCAAATCCCAGCTCTGCAACTGCATTTGGTCTCTAGATGTCCTCTGCTGTGTATTTTAAATAAACTACTGTAAGGGAGAAGATGGCACTTCGGTCTTTGGCAAAACCTACAACTTGAAGAAAATTTAAAGATAGTTTCATATTTCCTTTCACAGCTATAAATTGCTTTTAGGTTCATAATTCATGTGTCTTTAGACATTCACAGTAGGGTCTGTGCAAAGGAAGTGGGAAAAGATAATCGTGCTGTAGAGCAAACTAATTGCACAGACTAAGGCTGGTCTTAGTAACTCACGCTCTGTGTTCTGCTGAACAAGAGTCACATTGTGAGAAACAGTGGAGCAGCTTGGTTTACAGAGAGAAGTTAATATTTTATTGAACACTGGGCTCATTCTGGCTTGGAAGCAATCTCTGATTCAGGTAAGGCACTGATAAATGCTTATGCTTTTCCCAAATGGGTGTGTTTCAGAAAAGCATTCCCAACCCCAAACGAGGTGACCCCTCACAACTAACAAGCAAGTGTAGGTAGATCGGGTGAGCGGAGACTTGGAGAGCCACTCCTGGAATAGCAGAAGTGATGGGGCCAGTCAACATGCACACTGATGCTCCCACAAGGTCACCAGTGATGGGGACAGACTACAGTTTGCAAGAACAGGTCTACAACATCACACATGGTTTGGGGGTGGACGACGTTTCCAAAGAACAGGAGGGATGATTTCCGTGACAGACAAAAGGCAAGTAAGTACAAAGGCCCTTGGCGCTAAGGGGGGATCGTCTCTCCTTGGGGCTGCCCTGTGCTGCCAGTGGCACATTCACATACATCCCAGCTTGGCACACTGATGGCAACAGCCAGCAAGTAGAGAATGGCTAAAGGGATAAATCATGATCCATGCAGGCCTTCACACCCTGCACAGAAGCAGAATTCATAAATTATTCTTGACTGGCTACTTGTTTTTGAACATCTTTACTGAAGCCATCATCTATTTATTTTTCTGGTTCCATTATACCAGACTATTTAAAGGTTTTCCTTTAGGACAGGGTTTTTCAACCTCTCAACGTAGCAACTGGCATTTTGGGTCAGATAATTCTTTGTTAGGGGCGGGAGGGATGGAGGCCTGTCCTGTGCATTGGTAGGATGTTTAGCAGCTTCCTTGGCCTCTACCCATTAGATGCCAGGAGCTTCTTCCCTCCCCTCCTCCAGTTATGACAACCCAAGATGTCTCCAAACATTGCCAAATGCCATGTGGGGGACAGACCTGCTGCTTGAGAACCACTGCTTCAAGCAAACATTCTCTGAAGAATCAGGCGCTCTGGCTGCAGGAAGAAGCTTAGGGTGGGGCAGGCGTGTTTATGCGCACAGGACTGCCCTCTCCTGGACGGCTGGGTCGGTGCAGGCAAGAGCCTCTCATCAAAATACCAGTTGCTTGGTTACTAAGGACCATTACAATACAGCTACCACTAAGCGTAGCTAACGGGCATGGGAACTGGATCCCAAGATAAGATTAATCTAGGGGGATGGTGGTGGAAAGGACACTGAACTGGAAGAGGGCTTGGTTCCAATCTCAGCCTTGACGTTTGTGATAAGCAACCTGGGCCTCGGTTCTCTTATTCTAAAGATGAAGAGGGAAGACAAGATGAACTCCAGGGCAGTAGTTATACAGTGTGAGAGTCACGCAGGCTGAGATTCACATCTCTGCTCTGTCTCCTAATGGCTGACCAACCTCAGGCAAGTTATGAGGTTGTGGGACATTTTAAAATCTCTGTTTCATCATCTGTAATCTGAAGACACTAATACCACTCCCTTGTTGATTGCATCTAGTCTCACGGCTCTAAAAGCCATACACATAGCGAGGATTAAACAGGTAGGTGCTTAGAACGGTGAGTACAATATAAGGTTAGCTATAGTTGAGGTACAAGTAGATACGATTCCAGTTCTGAAATGAGCAAATATTTACTTAGCGTATACTGCATGCTAGAATTATGCTGGACATGAGCTATCAGGGGAAAAGATGAAAAAGGCAAACACAAAAATCGGAAAGAAGATATCATCAGAGTGAATATCACATTTGCTACATTAGTTTATTCATCTCCCCTTCTTCTGGACCGTTCATAATTCCTCCTCCAACCTCTAAGAGTTTTTTCCCATCCTCACGCTCAGTCAGTGGCCTCACTTCTGGTTTCTCTGACAAAACTGAAGCAATCGGAAAATCTCTGCTAGCACCTACCCCCATCTCTACCCCTTATCAGCATGTGCCCATAATCGGACCCCCCCCCGGCCCCTTAATGTGATAAACTGTCTGTGATCCTAAGGCCAACCCCTGCACTAGATCCCCTTTCTCACCTACTTGAAGATATCACTCCAGAAATTTTCCCTCTCTTTCTCGCTTCATCAGAATATTCCTCTCTACTGAATCATTTTTAATCACCTCACATCTTTAAAAAAAACCCCTACTTTTTGACTCCCTTTCCTCCTCCAGCTTCCTTTCTGTTTCTCTGTTCCTATTTACAGCCGAACTTCTAAGACTGTCTCTTATTCTTTCCAATTCTTTTTTCTCCACCTTTCTCTTGAACTGCTCTAATCCTGATCCAGCCCCCCACGCTTCTCTGAAACTGCTTTGTTTCACTTCCATGTTGCTAACTGCAACGGTCAATCCTTAGTTCTTATCTGATTTGTCAGCAGCACTTGACACATGGAACCCTTCACCCCAATTCCAGGACAGCACATTTTTCTCCTCCTGCCCACTGGCTGCTCCCTTTCAGTTTCCTTTCTTGATTCTTCCTCGTCTCCAAGACCTCTTAACATTGACATGCTCCAACGCACAGTCCTTGAATTTCTTTTCTATCTACACTCATTCAAATCTCATGGTTTTAAATACTATTCATGTGTTCCCCAATTCCCAAATGAGGTCTATAGCTGGCCCTCTCCAGAAACTTCAGACTCAAACAGCTAACTCCCTACTTGACACCTCCATCCAGCCGTCTAAAAGGCATCTCAATCAACACAACTCAAAAAGAACTTCTCCTCTTCCCCGAAAACGCTCCAAAGTCTTGTCCCATCTCAGCTGATGGCCATCCCATCTTCCAGTTGCTCAAGCTAAAACACCTCAGTCTTGTCCCCAACTCCTCTTTCTTTCACACCCTTCACCTAATATCAGGAAATCCTTCAGAATCTGATAGGTCACACCATGTCCACCATTACAACCCTGTTCTAAGCCACCATCACCTCCTCCCTGGAGCACTGCCATGAAAATGTAAGTCAGATCATGCCACTATGCTGCTTAAAATGCTGTAATGACTTCCCATTTCAGAAACAAAGTACCTATAATGGCCTACAATGCCCCAAGAGCTGACCCTGTGCTCTCTCTGACACTCACCTGAACCATTCTCTCCCTCGATCAGGTCACTCTCACTGAATGGGCCTCCTTGCTGTGTCCCCAGCACCTCTCCCTCTTGCTGTTCCCTTTGCCTAGAACATTTTCCCTTCCTTTGCTTAGTCTCATGGCTCTGCCCTCACCCCCTTCAGATGTTTGCTCACAAATTATCTTCTCAGTAAGGCCCTCCCCAGTCACTAAATTCAAAATTGGACCCCCCTCCTTAAGCATTTCCTATTACTCTTCTCTGCTTTATTTTTCTCCTTACCACTTATCAACTTTTAATGTACTATAAAATTCACTTACTCATTTAATGCCAATCTCCCTCTAGCTTTCCAAACTAGAAGGAGAGCTGTATCTCCAGCATCTGTAACAGGGTCTGATATAATAAATGTTCCATAAATATTTGTTGAATGAATGATTGTATGAATGAATGAACCAACCTTCCTCAAGTAATACATCCTATCATAGAGATTCGAGACAACTTTCTAGAAGTCTTCCTAGAGATCATCATTATAGCCTGGAGGAAATGCATCATGCAGCTAGCTATAAGTCCGGGTATTACAAGTAAGCTTTAAAGCATTTTGAAAGACTGAGGTGATATTGATATCATATTAATGATCAATGTAAATGGCAGTTTCTCAAGGGAGGCAGTCCA